TGATGTTGGTTATAAAATAGCTTGCTTTGTTATTACATGTTTAACTTAGTTCTTATGTGTGGTATTACTCTGTTACTAATCAAGTTAGCAGGTGATTTTTTTTTTTGCATTGTAATTTAAATTCTATTTGACATCTCGTCAAAGACAAATTGTGTTTATTAATCAAGTATTTGCTTGTCTTTTCACATTCTTACAGTTTGTACATTGCAGTTTAAAGAAAAGACTTGAGATTGGTTTGTTTGTTTGTTTGTTTTCCATTCATCAGCATTTTCCCTTTTGGATATTTTCATTTATTTACATTATTAAAGGTCTTTTGGGGAAACAGAAGTTGAAGAAGCATGTGCTTTTTTATGCTGGATTTAGCAACTGGTTGAATTTTTGGTGCTTTTATTTATCACTAACTCCTGTCTTGAGAGCTTACATGAAATTAGACTGTGTGTGTCTTGAGGTTTTATATGAAATTAAAGTGTGTGTGTGGCCTTATTTGATACAGTGACAGGGACATTTTTCAAATACTTTGTTGTGACTGTTTTGCATAGCTTATTGGAATTATTCATACATCAGTCAAGTACATTGAAATGACAAATAAGTTGGACTCTTATGGCGTTACAACTTTAAATAAATTTAATTTACAATTTAATAGAATTTATTAAAATTAAGTAATTTTGAAGACTGAAATTCACATAAGATTGAAGAGCCAATCGCCGCTGTTCACTCGATCAGTCCGCATTACGTCACTGTAGCTACCGGAAGTGAGTCCATCGCTTTTTGTCAAAGAAAATGTTAATTTAAAAGTATGTTACAACGATATAAACCTGTTCTTCACTTAACTCCTCACATTTATTCACTGTTTTTATGTACAAGGCCAGTTGTCTGGTTTCATTTTTCATTCTAGGTTAATTTAAGAAGAACCACGTCTTTTGGCTTTTATTGTGAAATTTCCTACCGGAAGTCATTAGAGCTAAAGGTTTCGTGTCCTGTAGTGTCAGCTAAAAACTGCTTACGCTGCAAGACACGAACACGGCAGGTGAGTGTGAAGTTTTCCCACATGCTTGAATGTTGTAAAGTTTTGCATTATGTTCAATAAGACACATCTACTTCCTTACCGTGTTGGTTATTAATGTCTTTAAATCACAGTAACTAGATTTTATTTTCGTTCTGAAGCAGGACCTCTTAAACTAAGAGTCAACATTTGAAATATTGTTCAGTATTTCTGAGCCATGGCTCTGATTCATAAATTGCTTTTTTAGAGTTTTAGAAAATACTTGTATCAGTGGAAATCTCTTAATTCACAGAAACTGCTTGTCGTTAAGACAAACTCCTCGTGCAGGGACAGCCTGCCTTTCTTGCAGAACCTGTTTACAGGCTCCTATTATGTGGATAGTTTATACTTTAGTGCAACATTTTGTCAGGATTTGCTGAGACTTGGAAAATTCAAGAATTTCAGCAAGATCAATCAACACTTTTATTTGCCGGATATTGAGCGAGTTTCATAGAGATGCTGTAATGAATTTTAGGTATGGTATGCAAAAGGCTTTTACACCTCAGCACTGATTTGATGTCATATTGGGAAGCCATCATGAGTCAAAATGTCTCCATCTGACCACTGAACCTGCAGAATTCAATGTAAAATATGGAATATGTAAACCACTTGCGCATCGCAAAGAATCTGATTTATTTATGTAGCGTTTAATCATAACAGTTTTCCTGAAGTAACTACAATAAAGATAAACAAGAAAAAAGACACAATCCAAATTGGGCCATGCAGTTAAGCTGAACTTGTGATTAAAATGTTTTCTAAACCAGGAGATTGCAGAGTCTCACTGGTAGCATTCAGTCGTCCTGGATGAGTAAAGAGTGTTGGAGTTTCTGTGCAATGTGAACATCAAATAGAGAGGACGAGTGGAGAGTTAGAATGATGTATGTCTTTTAAATATTTCAAATGACAGAAAATCACCAACTTTTATTTGGACTAAAGTCCCACATACCATTGAACCATTTGTTTTGGCAGCAAAAGTTTAAATACATTGCATTTCTAATGATTGTATTTAACATTACAATCAAAACAAATATAAGAACAGCATCATATCATCTGTCCTGTCCTTACAGAGATGTGGTGGGTGGCGTGGGTCCTGGCTGTGTTAGTGTTTCTCTTCAGTACCCTGGATGTGTGGTACTTCCTGCGAGCGGGCGCCGTTCTTCTGCGGGCCTGGTTTCAACCTCCAGTGTGGGACGTCACAGGAGAGCAGGTCATGACGGGACGCGTCACTCCACGTGACATCGACATGTGTCACATGAACAATGCCCGCTACCTCCGGGAGTGCGACTTCGCCCGCTTCTCTCTCTACATGCGTAACGGTGTGTTCAAAGCAGTGCGGGCCCTCAGAGCCAACCTGGTCGTGGGGGCCACAACCATTCGCTACCGCAGAGCTCTGTGTATAGGAGAAGGTTACGATCTATGCAGTCGGATCGTAACTTGGGATGACAAGGCTTTTTTTCTGGAGCAAAGGTTTGTGTCCACTAAAGACAGACTGGTGTGTGCCGTCATGTACTGCAAGCAGAGTGTCATACGCAGCAGCCCTGACAAGATCTTACAGCACCTGTGTAAAAGAAAGGTATGAGAGGAAGTGAAGGCTGATAGGATGGATCTGGGCACATACTAGCAACAAATGACAATAATCTTGTGTTTTGCTGCTTGTAGGTGGAGGCTCCTGAGTTTCCAGAGGACCTGCAGCATTGGGTCAACTTTATTTCTGCCAGCAGTCAGGCCCTGAGAGCAGAGAGTGGTCTTGAGGAGAAGAACAAATAGTTGAATGGACAGTATATCGGCCCTGCAGCTCACCGTCGCCTGAGAGAGAAATTAATAATCTGCACAGTTATGTCACTAATTCATTGTTGTGCCTGTTCTTTGCACTAAGGGTACTTTGAACCCAATATTTAAAGATGTAACACAGGGATATTGGTGTACATTACATTAAAAATGATGTTACATCACAACTTTTGTAACTGTAAATGTCTAACATATGGCAGGTTTTATAGCAGCAGCAATAAAACTAATCCATGGCTTATGGTTTGAGTTTCAGATTGGGACGAAATGTGCTTTCAAAGCACAAAAATACTAGAAATAAAAATGACTTCTTGAGCTTTAACATCTGAATACATTGTTTCTGTTGTACCATTTAGCCAGCTATTAACATCTAGTGTCATTTTTTTCTACAGAGGTGTGTGCCAAGAAAATGGCAAAACATTTGTTCATTTAATTAAGTCCAATGGTCTTCAATAAATCCATTACACGGTGATATACAAGTATTTAGTTCTGTTCACTTTTCACAGCTAATAAAACCAAAATGCAATTTCTCAAGAAATAAAAATATTATAGAAGACCAATTAAATAAGTATTTTTTGTTACGGTCTTATGGAGGAAGATTGCTGCCTTGAGAAATGTCTAGAATCCAAAACTGTTCTGTATTAATAAGATGGATGACCATTTGAACACATTAATGTTAAGTTGAGTGAAAGAACAAGCAATGGTATAAAATTATGTCCAAAAAATTGGTAGTCGAAGCCTTAAAGGAATTGTAAAGTGATTGTATTTGATAGTTTAGTAGAGTTTCACAACATGTCAACTGCAGCTTCAAGGGATTCAGTAAAGGTTATGAAGGTCATGGGCCACAACAGTACTGCTTCCCGTATAAAGCTACTTTCTAGGCAGAGACAACATCTGAAATATCTTGAATAATGGGGAAAAAAGACTATAATTACTCTGCTCAGTAATTAAGTATGCTCTTGAGATGAAATCAAATTCTATATTTCATTTGGGTATTGGTAAGACTTAATTGGCCAGCTAATCGGACCTAAATACCATGGAGAAACTGGTGAAAGATGAGATACCAGAGTCATTAATGGTGAAAGATGCTGTTTAAGGCAAATTAACTTCCTTAACACCTACATAGAACCACAGGCTGACTGCCTCCATGCAATGTTGATGCAGTAATTTATTTCATCAACATCAATGCAAACTGTTAAAGAGCTTAAATCATTTTAAACTTACAAGATAAACTTTAGGTGGCATGTAATACTTCTGTGATCAAGATATTTTCTTCAAAACCCATTTGCTTCAGGTTGTTTGTTTAGTGCACTTAGCTTTAATGTTATAGCTCTCAGTAATTTGACTTGGTGTCTTCCTTAGGAGGAGAAGTTTGCTTCTCATTTGTGGCCTCTGGAATATCCATTTAAAAACCTAGTTTCAGTCATTGAGCTGATGTTTGAGCAGCCTTTTTAAAATTTACAAGATAAATGGTTATTATATAGTATTCTGTCAATAGGACAATGAGAACAAATACTTCACAAATTAACAAATTCACTTAGAGTAAGTTTTTTTTCTGTCATTTGCTTGTTTTATGTAAGTTAAACATTCATATTCAGAGGGAACATATCTATATGACTGCTATAAATCGCTGGAAAAGATAGGAAACTCAAGATAGGGCTTTTCACCTTTGTTAATTCAGTCTTGCCTATTGTTACTAAACTAATTGAACATGTAATCTGGGTATAATGTAATTTTTTATTAATTTTTTTATTCTGTTATCAAATTTCTTTTTATCCTAATGTGTTTTTCTCACTAGAAAGAATGTGTTTTTGGTCTGAACAGCTGATGAGGGTAATTTATTGTAAGCTGGTGGAATGAAAATAAAGGAAGCAACGTACATGAAGCAGTAAATACAGTTTGTTGGAGCAGATGTTAAATTATTTAAACCTGTTTTCAAATTCTGGAAAGAAACATTTTCTACTTTATTTGAAATGGTTTATATTTTCTTTCATATGAGAATTTTGCAATATATGAATTTTGTATGAGCGTCTTTTGATTTGTTTTTTTTCAACACTTTTAATTAAAAATATTACCGTATTCCATTGAGTAGCTGTTAAAAATCAAGAAGAAAAACCTAATTTGCATAATGAACCTGTAACCATGTCAACAGACAGCCAATGAAAGTCCGTGTCGTCACACGTTAGGAAGTCATGTCCGTTGAACCAACCGGCTTCTTGACGTTGCATCCCGTCCTGTGATAGCGCCTACTGAGAGACGCACGGTGAGTTTTACTCTTGTAGATATATGCTTCAGGTACGTTTTTGGACGGCGCAGGTGTCGCGCGATAGTTTAATGCAAAGTGGCGACTTTTGCGTCAGAATTTGCCCCCTATACCTCCATAGGCCGGCAGCCTAAACTGCTAACAGCTAGGCTAACAGATTTGACTTCCATAGCAGGTTTATTTGAAGGTAGCTGCGCTAACTTCCCACTCGTGTCAAGGTTGCCGTGCTTGGCCGTGGGAATATAAGGCCTCTTCGCTTTAATTCTGGAAACATTATAAGCGGCTCTGGAAAGCCCAGTTCACATAATATTGCGTACCTTCAATATATGTACTCAAGTTGATTAGTATTAGTATTCATTTAGTAAAATGCTAAAATGTATTCTTACGTTTGGAATCAAAAACTGAATATTATTGAAAGTATTTTAAAGTTCTCCCACGCATACAGCTTGTTAAAACACCTTTGTAAGTTATTATTTGGTGCATTAGTTTTTATTTGTTGAATCTGTGTTTGGTCTCTTGTTCCAGAGATGTTGCTGCTGGTGCTGAGTGCCCTCCTCCTTCTCTTCTGCAACCTGGATGTGTGGTACTTCCTGCGGGGGGCCCAGGTTTTTATAGAAGCATGGTTCCTACCCAGAGTGGAAGACATTCTGGCTGAGCAAAGTATCGATGGCATGGTCCTTCCTCATGATTTAGACTACCTGGGCCATATGAACAACTCTAGATATCTGAGGGAGTGTGACTTTGCCCGCTTCCACCACTACATGAGAAATGGGTTGTTCATGGCCTCACGTAAACTTGGGGCCAAAATGGTAGTAGGGGCCTCCACCATTCGGTATAGGCGCTCTTTGGCCTTCAGAGAGACTTTCCAGATTCGTACCAAAGTGCTAGGCTGGGATGATAAGGCCTTTTACTTAGAGCAGCGCTTTGTGTCCAAGAGAGATGGCTTTGTATCTGCAGTCATGCTTTGCAGGCAGAATGTGGTGGGCAGCAGCCCAGAAAGCATTATGGAATTTGTCTACAAGAAGAGGGTAAGTAGTTTTGCACATTGAGTGTAATTGGCAATACATAAACACAGTTTGTTAGGGAAAATATTTAGATCATATGAACATTTCTGAGCACATTTTGTTTAAGAACAGCATTTGCACCAGCTTCATCAAAGGTCATTTTCAAATAATTATATTTCATAAGCAAAAATATAAAAGCAACTTTCATTTTTGAAAGTAACAACTAAAACCATTCCTCTATACAAGTCTGGAAAATAAACAAGCCACTTGATAAATCAAGCTTACATGGAGTGCACATATATGTATCAAGAAAAAATGTATTTGAATGTGTAATTTGGTATTATCGTTACTTTTTTGTGTGTCTTTAAACTTTTAAGGTTTCTGTCAGTTGGTTATTTGGTGCAACTTGAACTCAGGGCTCAAATCTTCATGTGAATTTTAAGAGTGTGTTTAATGCTGTGTTTATTTACAGATTGAGTGTCCACAGTTTCCAGAGGAGCTCAAACACTGGATCAGCTTCATTTCAGCCAGCAGCCAGGCGCTGAGAGCAGAAAGCGGCCTGGAGGACAAAAATAAGTGAAGGCGCACAAGATACTTTGGTATCATGAGTGGCGACGCATATCTCAGCATTGCACACACTCAAACATACCCGCTCCTTTCAGAGTGTTTTAGTCATCTTCAAATACTCTATATATTCTGATTTGGGGCCAGTCTTACACACTGTTTCTTAATTGTTTGGTTTGTTTGATGTGAAAAATTTTTATTTACTGCAGCTAAGTATAAAAAAAACTTGAAATGAAGGAAACGTTTACTTTAAAACAAAGTGAATCCAAAACAAAGCTTTATCTTTGTGACTTACCAAGTAGTTGACTGTGAGTTGGGTGTTTTCAAACATCTTCGTTCTCATCTGAAAACGTCACAGAATTTCAGATTAGCATGTAGCGCAAACATTAATATTCTACTGGCCTAAATGCATGTTTCAAAACAATCTGAATATTTTTCAAGCCTGTTTCTTATAGTTTAGTTACAGTTATGATTTAGAATGAAAAACCAAAAACATGTTTAATGAATTATTTGAATTGGTATATTGAGCATGTTTTGATGAGGTCTAATCCCATGATCAGTATTTTTGAAGAGGTTACTACCTGTTAACAATCTGAAAGGGAATTTTCTATTTTTAAAAATATAGCTAAACAGTTATCAGCACTTTATTTCACCAGACTGAGAAAAAAAGAGACATTATTAAAAAGGATGACCTTCATTAGAGCTGCATGTGATTTTTAGGAGAATGTTTTTGATTGGCAGGTATGATAATCAACAGCTAACAGGAGGTTGCTGGCAACTTTTCAAAACCTGCCACGCACAAGAAAGTATGAGTGTTTTTGTGCTCTTATTGAGAAAATAATTGAAATGTGCAAACATGTCATTTATGCGTCAGTTTTCTTTTTGTGACCAAATTAACATATTGTCCTTAGTTAGAGATATTACACTTTTAAAAATGTATGCCTAATCTTTTATGTATTTATGCTGTCAATGCTCTGTTTAAGAAATCCTGGTTAAAACCTTGAAGTTTGAGGATATGGATTGTATGTTTGTTTTCCACCTATTGTTCTTTGATTTATGGAAAATGATTTGTCAGATACTATTTATTATGTTTAATTATCTTAATGCATTTTAAAATAAAAATGCACTGAACCTTGTTTTTGGGTCATTTCTTACAAATTAAGTACAGATTTAATTGTAATTTAATGTTCCTAAATTTAAGATATGACACTGATCAAAACTCTGACTGACTGCCCCTTCTGAACAAAAGCACGCCACTTCCATGGATGTTTCAACACGTAGGCACGTTTGAGGCTGTCTCAACTGAGTTACATAAATTGTGAAAGCTAAGCTGTTCGAGCATGACTGCTTCAACTGTCCTTATAATCAGCAAATAGAAAAAGCTCCTCATCATAAAGGGACTTATCTACTACTTGTAACACATTGACTAGAGGTAAACATTCAATGGAAAACTGTTTCAAAGAACAGACCGATTCATTGAGAAGGACACAAAGGAAAATGTTAAGTAAACTATAGACATCAGACATCCATAGGTTTTATATGCTGTATTGTGAGAGCTAACTTCAATACAAGAGTTCTTTTTTAAAATGAAATATATTTATCTTTATTCAAAGTGACAACGCTAAATAGCTTTATTAAATGTGATCTGTGCAATTAAAACAAAGCCCTTGCAGTGTTATTTACCCACATAGACTAACACATCCAATACACATGATTGTTTTTATATACAGTAATTATTTTTTGCAGAATAAGTTTGGGGGTTCTTGTACCAAATCTTGATGTGGCTTTGCAAAATTTCACAATTGTGGTACTAGTAAATAATTGATCAAAATATTTGAAATTCAAAACAGAATAATCACCATGAAGCAATGTCCGTTAAATACATTTGAATAATAAATGAATCAAAAATGATCTAGGACCACAAAATTCATTTCAGCTATTTCAAATTACATTAACTATATGTTCAACATTAGATGTTCATACATATAAATCTTAAGAAGTTAATATGTAAATAGAGGGTGAAAAAGCATTTTTGCACCTAGAGCGAGTTTTCCCCCATGAACGCAAGTGTCTTTGATAAAGTAAACTCACCAAATGAAACTGTAATAATAATTTAATAATACTTTAAATTAGCTTTGCAAAAAGAGTTTGTGTTTTTGCATTTATTAAACAGTTCTTAGTTTGAAGAATCTGTGTTTGTCTCTTTAAATTAAATGTCCTCCAGTATCCGGTGTCGTTGCTAGGACACGCCTCCATTCTCTTCACTTCCTGTAAACAAAGCAGGGGCAGCAACCCTGAGCCAGTTTGTTCTTGCGTTTTCCGTCATTTTCCGGCTCCTCTGTCGTGTTTTTAAAAATGGCTCAGGGTGGAGTGGTTCTGGACAAGGACCAGTTTAACTGTTCCATATGCCTGGACGTGCTGAAAAACCCAGTGACCATCCCCTGCGGACACAGCTACTGCTCGGACTGCATCCAGAACTACTGGGACCAAGATGACTTTCTCGGGGTCTTTGTCTGCCCACAGTGCCGACAGAGCTTTAGCCCGAGGCCGGTGCTTGCCAGGAACACCATGCTCACCGATGTGGTGGAGAAATTCAAGACTACGACGCTCCAGGCTGCCTCGGTACCGAGGGATAGCCGATGTCTGGCCAAAGCCGACGACGTGGAGTGTGACGTCTGCACCGGGAGGAAAAACAAGGCTGTCAAGTCCTGCTTGGTGTGCCTGGCCTCCTACTGCGACGTTCACCTCCAGCCTCACTACGAGTCCGCCGCCTTCAAGAAGCACAAGCTGGTTTCGGCCTCCAAGCGGCTCCAGGAGACGATCTGCCCCCTGCATGACAAGCTGCTGGAAGTGTACTGTCGCACCGACAGGCGCTGCATTTGCTACCTGTGTCTGACAGACGAGCACAGAGGACACGACACGGTGCTGGCCGAGGCAGAAACGCAACACATGAAGGTAGCAACACTTTACCTCAGCCTGAAATTGTCGTCTGTGAGTTTAAGTATTTGTTCTGCAGATACTTAGACTCACAAGTCACTTTGAGTATGGTGACTTGTGGATCAATTTTTACTGTCTGTAAGAGCCTTGGTTTTATTTTTCAGTCCTAACCATTTTATGTAAAGCTGCATTCAGCCATTGATTGGATTCAGACCGTTTGTATTGTGGACTGGCTGTGATTTGTGATAAGGAGGTAAAAATCAATCTCACTCCAGTAGCCTGTTCTTTAATACACATTGTTTTTAACCTTAATTAAATTAGCTAAAGGCTCTGAATCCATTCTTATTTTTCTGTACTTACCCATGATGCTCAGAAAAATACTGTATATACTGGGATACTGGCCCTTCAGGGCTGTCTGTCACACCTTGAAGAAGTAGAAAGCAGTTTCTAAAAGTAAATTAGGCAAAGACCTTTTTTCAATTACGTTGAAATTGGAATGTTCATGTCCTTCATTTATGTCGCCAGGGAAGAAATTGTTGATCTATTGTTCAAGAATCTGTCCCTTTGTAAACTGCTTCTCTGAATGCTTTATTTAGTCAGACTCTGGTTTTTTAGATCTGGTCAAGAACATATCTCTCTCGGTGCAGTGCTTCACGCAAACAAAACCAAAATGACTGTGATTTATCTCAACTAATAAACGAAATAAATTACTCTGCTTATATTCCTTTTTTTTTTTTTTTTTACTGTAATTCAAGGTTTGATATGAAAATACTGACACAGATTTAGTTCTTGTGGTTTTGTTGTGTTTCTGAAGCAGTTCAGTTGATTTCTGGCTAACTATTGCATTTAAGTAGTATTATTTGTTTTTCTCTTATAAGTTTTACATTAGATGATCACCAGATATTCTGTGGAGATTCAGAAAGGCACATGGGGGATTTTCTTTTCTTCTTCTTTTGTTTCTTTCAGATACAGCTCAGTGACATGAGGCAGAGCTCACAGCTCAAGATTCAGCAAAGAGAGAAAGAGGCACAAGATCTGAGACAAGCTGTTTTTTCTCTTGCTGTAAGTGCTGACACACAGATTCTTTCTATTAAATGATGGATGAGAAAACGTCACATTATCAGTAAAATACGTAACTTGCTCTTTATTTACATAACAGCTGCTGCAGCTAACTATTCTCATAGAGCAGATGTGTTTTAACCCTTGTGTTGTCTTGGGGGTCCAAAGTGACCCATTACCATGTTTACCTGTAGAAAAAAATACCCTAAATTATCTTTTTCCAACTTGAAATGACTTTTCCTAAATTGACCCCATCATTAGAAAAAGTAATACTTTGCTTTTGTTTAAATTTCCATGTGGGCTTTACACCACTAGGGTACATGGATTGTCTTATGAGTCATTTTTGATGATCATCATCTCGTGAAGATGTTCATCTTAAGTTCGACACCTTATGTTGATCAGAAGATGTTCTTCATCTTGTGTTGAACATATCGTATAATTATGAGACACAACATAAGAGCTGATGTTAAATTGTTCACAAAATCAAGCTACATTTTGTTTTACGAGAGGTATTTTTATAATTCACTTCCAAAAAAAAATTTAAAGAATGAACCGTTGACTAAAAAGTTCTACATTTTTGACTTTTTTTCCCCTTTCAGTCTAATTAATTCAGAAGTAACCACTTCTGAATTACTTCTGATCAGTCAGTGGTGAGAACTGACTGATCAGAAATTACAACAATAAATCTTTACTATGTAAAAAAAAAACAACTGCTGTAACACATGGTTTGTGGTAAAAAGAAAAAAAGAGAGTGATTCTGTTGATCATCTTTTTGTATTGAATAACAAAAATACATTATAAGAAATGAATAAAATTGAGTTGAATTGATAAATAACACATTGTTTCATCTTGTAAAATAGACTTTAGATTTAAAATTTAATTAATTAGCTTTTTGTTGGGGCTTTTGTTAGGGTGGGTCATTTTTGACCCGTAGGTCAAGAGAAGTAAACAGAGTGTTAAGATCGCACCAGTGTTAAATTGTGCCTCCCTCGCTGACTGCTGTGCGTTGGTCTGCGTCTCCCTCTAGCGTTCGGCGCGGGCTGCTGCTGAAGAGAGCGACGCCATCTTTACGGAGCTCATTCACCAGATAGAGCTGAAGCGCTTTGAAGTGAGAGAGCTCATCAAAGAACAGGAAAAGACGGTCATCGGTGAAGCCGAGCAGTTGCTGGACAAGATCCAGAAGGAAATTGCTGAACTGAAGAAGAACGAGGCCGAACTTGACCTCCTGTCCCACACCGATGACCCCGTCCAGTTCCTCCAGGTGATTCCTTCAGACTTGTTCTGCGGACAGTGACTCAGTAGCGCTCAGCCTAACACCGTCTCTTCTCCGTGTCTGTGTTCAGAGTTGTCAGTCCCTTCAAGCCTCTCCTGCGCTGTCAGCTTCTCCTTTGCTCAACACGAACCCGGGCCCCTCCTTCAGCCCGGTGATGACAGCTGTGTCCGACTTCAAGGGACTGCTGCAAGAAGTGTGCCAGGGAGGATTTGTCAGCATCTATGAGAAAGGTAGACACACTTCAAGAGGGGCTTTTAAAGGACATTTGTTCTCACCACTGACTGATCTATTTTTTTTTTTCTTTTTTAGTGAAAGATGTTACAATCATGATGATTCAGAATCCTGAGTCCTCAGGGTCTCAGGGTGACTCTCCCCTCACTGGTGAGGCTGGGGCAGCTGCACAGATGGAGTCACCAATAAGTGAGCTTGTTAATGTTATGTTACCTTCTGCATTGATTATAGTAAAAATGTACAAAGACTTTAAATGGGTATAGCTTTTAAGTCACTAGGGAAAAATTCCATGTGATAGAAATTGTTTGGGGTTTTTTTAATCACAAGTGCTGTCACCTATTAATAGTGTCTATAAAATCAGTAGCTCTTCAGCATTTCATATTGTATACTTGATCATTTCGTGATTGCCATTTTTATGTATAATTTTTTTATAAAATTTCTCTGATTTGAAAAAATAAACCAAAGTGCTACAGACAATGTACTAATCTATATTTAATTTACCATCTACTTGACAACAAAAGCACATATATTTTTATTAGCTTATAAATGCAGGCATAATCAATACAGTAGAATATCATCCCACAGAAGATCATTTGCCAAATTAAAGAGCTCTTAAAAACGACAGCAAATGTTCAACATGCTTGTTTTTAAACCCACATTTCTGTTTTAAAAATATTTTTTAATTGGTACTCTAACTTTATATGTCATATTTTCATATTTAAATCAATAAAAATCAATGCAAACGACGGAAGCATTGAAGTAGGGCCTTGAAAATATCAGTCTGAGTGTAATTAATCTATATGTGTTTTACTTAGTGAATTAAGTTACTCGCATAAATTAACTTTTCGATAATATTCAAATTTATTGAATGGTATGGACATTCAGGCACCAATGGGTTTAGTTAATGTTAATAAACAAATATTAACATACAAACTATTAAAGAAACTTTTCTTTAAAAGTAACAGAAGGCAAATTTTTGATTCTAGCCCAATAGAAAAAGTTGTAAATTTTTATACCATTGAGCATAGCTGTTTAGTTTATTTTTGTTGTTTTCAAAATGTATCTTTTTTCTTGTTTATCTTTATGCTGAGAAAAATCTACCTTTTTTATTAAAGGCAAGCAACAAACTGACTAATTGCTGTTAAGTCCTGTGATTTCAGTGGTTTAATTGACCACAGATTTCATTTTTGATATTTTTCCCACAGACACCTAAAATAACTTAGATAGGGTCATTTATATGCTTGCTAAATAATGCAAACCTTTCTCTATTGATGCGTTTTTCTTATGTGCAGATGGTTTCTGGGACACACTTACTCAGTGACACACTGATGAGATGTGTGAGCACATGAAAACGAGTTGTGTATTGTGTGTGTGTGTGTGTGTGTGTGTGTGTGTGTGTGTGTGTGTGTGTGTGTGTGTGTGTGGGGGTGTGTGTGTGTGTGTGGGTGTGTGTTACGTTACCCTTGTACCTGTTTGTGTAATTTGATGTGTTTTTGTTGTCCTGCTGAATAAAAGATGTTTCTGTCCTAACATTTTCCTTTCAGCCGAAACTCCTCTCACAGCATGTTTGCTTACCGCACACTTTGCTGAATCTGCATGAGATTCTGTCAGTTTCAGTTTGGGAGGCTCCACAGTGACTGTGTTTATCTGTCCTCACAGTTCTGCCTCCTCTTGGTCTGGACCAACCAGCTGTCAATCCTCTGAACCCGTTCTTTACTCCGGGACCGTTTGCCTTCTCGCCGTTCGGTAACTAGAGTCATCACATTAATGAAGCATTTATTGCAAATCACTGTTACATGCACTGAAATTTCTTGTTGCAATATGATATGGAAAAAGTTAGTGATACAAAACAATTTAATATTCAGATGCTTTAACCCTTAGGTAATTTAACACTATATTTACGATAAAAGTTTTATTTCCTCACATTTTATCTCCTGCTGTAAACTGATCAGATTTTGCTGTTTCTTGCTGCAACATTCCATTTCTTGTTTTCTTTTTGGTCAGGTTCCAAACTCGTGACTGGGTCCAGACAAAGACCCCTGCAGAGACGGCCTCACTCAAGAAGAAGATAAATCCGTCTGCAGATCAGACTGAATGTCATACATGCACCCACATAACCTGAATATTGTTTCATAAGAGTCAAAAATGAGACATTTTTGAGTATTTTATCTGTGGACACTTGTTTTATTGACTTTAATCAGTTATATTTCAGTATTTATTTACAGTCGATGCATTTAACTTGGTGTGAAGCAGCTGAAAGCATGAGCAACCTACTTCAGTGTATTTCAGTATTGCTAAAAGGGTCAGCCTGCTGTGGTGATGTGGTTTTATGCTTTTCTAAGTATTTTTTAAGCAGTGCTATGTGAACAATTATTTTCTTTTGTAAACTCATTTGTGACACATTAAAACATCATCCGCTTATTTTGAGATTAAAACATTTATTTATTCACTGGAGGATTTTATAAACAGTTTCACTTGAAAGCAAAGAGGAAAACCTTTATTTATGTCGGATAAATCTCACCGGGAAATAAATCCTAATTTTCAAAAGAGACCAACATTATATACAGTCGTAAAAGTAACATACAAAACAGCAGTGCAAGTGTATGTTAAGGAATGGACTCAAAATGTGTAAGATGAGAACTAATCACAAAGCTGTAGTTAAGAACAGAAGCAGAATCGGATCAGGAAGTTAAAGTCCAGTTAGAGATGATTCCAGGCTGATGGTGCAGAGTAAGAGAAAGATTCTGGATGACTGAAGGGAGTAAATTACAGAGTAATGATGAATTAGTTAATAGAGACATATAAACAAACTGATTAAAATTCAAAGTTATACAGGGAATGTTAAAATTGTACATTTAAGTAAAGGTGTGTCTATGAAAAAGGTGCCTTTAGCTGAACTTTAAGAAGTCACTCATTTCTATCCGGTATTGGGTAAAGAGGCTGGTTAAGTGTGAGCTAAAAACAAGAAATTTTAAGATTTTAAAATTTCTGAAACTAATTTAAATTAAAATTAAAATTTTGACCCTTTTCCACCACCTTGGCCATTCTGGCCAAGGTGGTGAAAAAGTTTCTGTTTAAAAGAGACTGTCTAGTGGTTGGTTCTTGTTTTGTTGATCAAACACAGACATAAGTCAGGGCTTTCCCCTGGGAAACAAAAACAAGCTTCAGGTTACTTTTAAAGGTCATCTACGATGGCCCAGCCTGGTGTGGGTCGACAGGAGGCTGATCTCTGCCTTTTTTCTTTTTTTTTTTTACCTGGGAGGGCCTTCCCCAGGTGTGCCTGGCTGTGATTGGAGGCTTCCTGGTGCAGCAGGTGAAACCTGAGATGCTGATATCTGCACACTTGTGAGCTACGCCCATCATTGTCCCTTCCTCTTTCAGTTCAATGTTTGTGTGTGTGAGAGTGCAATGGCAGCCGCAACGATCTCTGTAGAACCAGACCAGTTTTGCTGTCCAGTGTGCCTAGAGGTTCTGCGAGATCCCGTGACCATCCCGTGTGGACACAGCTACTGTCTGGACTGCATTGAGGATTACTGGAACACAGCGAAGCAGAAAGACCAGCACAGCTGTCCCCAGTGCAGGCAGGAGTTCAATCCCAAACCCCTGCTGAGCAGGAACACTGTTCTGGCTGAAGTGGTGGAAAAGTTCCTGAAAAGTGAAGTTCAGCCTGCGGCTCAGCACCTGGCGAAACCCGAGGAGGTGAAATGCAGCGTCTGCAAGGGCAGGAAGAACAGAGCTGTGAAATCCTGTCCCCAGTGCCTGGAGTCTTTCTGCCTGGCTCACCTGAAAGGACACGAAGAGCGCTTTCACAGAAAAGACCACAAGCTGATCCCAGCCACAGATAGGCTGAAGGAGAAGCTGTGTCAACAGCACGAAAAGCTGCTGCGCCTGTACTGCCTCAGTGACCAGCAGTGTGTGTGCTCGCTGTGTGTTAAGGAGAGGCACAAGGGCCACAACACCGTGCCGCTGGTGGAGGAGAGGACCAATCAGCAGGTGAGTCAGAGAAGTTTATAATAAAGTATCGATGTTTCTGAGACATTATCTCACTAACAGTTCAGTAATGCTTTAAAAGAATCAGAGCAACAAATATATTCACAATACAGCTGTTGGAAAGAATTTCCCTCAAAGTACACATTTGATTTCAAACACTTAAGAATTTAGACAAGAAAGAAAGAAGTCTGCCAAAGTATAAATGGTTATAAAAATGTTTGATTCATCAGAATTGAATTGAGATACTAAACTCAAAGTGTAATAATTATAACAGACTTTTCGAAACAAAAAAGGTTTACAATGATTTAAGGAAGTGAATGCGATGTTTGTGGAAACAACTTCCTGCGGTAGCAGCTGGCTTTATAATAACTATTCACATTGTTTTAAGCTTGCTGACTATTCTGAGCTGGGTGTCATCTGTACTTTAATATTTAACTTCTGCACAAAGGCCTTATATGCAAATGACTAGCTCAAGAAAAACTTGAATTTGCTAAAATCTTTAACATTTGCATTACAAAAATCAAATGCAATTCCAAAACTACAACAAAAAGTCTGACAACACGAGAAAACTTTTTAAGTAGTATTTACTTGCAATACTTTGTTTTGTTCTTTTACTTTGAGCTGAACAAAGTGAATTTAATAGACTAACACTTTAAAATGCTTCTCCATTACTTTTTATTCAAAACCTCCACCCTGCCTTTAAGTTACAAAATGTATTTTATTTATTTAAACCTGCTATATGCCCATAAAATTTTCAAATGTTTTGCATTCATTTATTCTCCATTTTAGAATAATACTTGATAAAAGTTCAAGTAACATCACTACAGCAGTAATATGTTTTAATGGCATCAGGAACAAATCTTTGTTTTAAACAAAAGATCTTCAACGTTAAAAGTATTTAAATATTGTAAACCAATGTTGTTTTACTCAGTTACCCTGCTGATCCATGTCTAAAATTAACTTTTAAAAGGATTCTGGTGTCCTTCCTGCTCAGGTAAGCTGTTAATAATTTAGAGGCAAGTCCGTTAAAAAATAACTAGAGCAGCAACAACCAATACTCTGACACTCCAAATCTTTATAAAGTGGTTTGTAGGAGTTTCCAGGAGCATTTTCTGGACTTTGTTTTGGATTGAATTCAAATCAAAGATAAAATACTTATTTAATTCTTTGATACCTAAACCAGTGTTTGTGCCTTCATCTCCACTTTCAGGATCAACTGCAGTAGAACTGGAAAGTCAGGAACATATGTTGCTAATATATCCTTCTGCTTATGGGATAATAAAGCTCAGTAATGCTTGCAGTTCATAAATAAAACATTAGGATGACTAATATTTATTTATTTTTTTATCTCGGGGGCGTTTCACATCCAGGAGAATTGATAATGGATGCTAAATGTGTTGTCTGAGAAGCTCAATATAGCCACAGCATCACGTGAGGCCTTCAGGATGTAAAATATTTAACACACAGACGATGGATCAAAACCTTTTCAGTGTAGCTTAATGCTTTGTTGAATCAAAATGTTCCACCCTGAAAGCCAACCTTGGAATAAATTATTTCACTAAAAAGAGAGATCGTCCCATGTGATATTTATCTGTTGTATTCTTAGAAAAAACTCAAAGAAACTTCTTTGAAGTCGGTACAAAAGCTGAAGGATGCAGAGAAGGAACTGAGATACGCCATAAAATACATGAAGGTGAGATCAACTTCGTCCACAAGAGGTTGTGATGTTCTTTATGTACAATGTAGCACAAAAAAAACATAAACGGTTTTCCTGGTAAATAAAGAACTTTAACCTTGCCAGCATTCTGCGGAGGCTGTGGTGGAGGAGAGTGAAAGGATTTTCTCCAAGTTGATTCGATCCATTGAGAAACAAAGCGGAGAGGTGAAGGAGATGATCAAATCCCAGGAGAGACTGGTGGTTGGTCAGGCCGAGGAGATGCTGGAGAGGATCCAGAGGGAGTTGGCTGAGCACCGGAGGACGGAGGCTGAGCTGGAGCGGCTGTCTCGCACGGAGGACCACATCCACTTCCTCCAGGTATGGAAGTGGAACTTACAGTGATTTGATGCACATAATGGTGATGTTTGCGGGATTGGGGTCAATGTTCTGCTCAGGGACACCTCAACATCTGGCAGGTGGACACTCACCTCAAATTTACAACTCCTCTAAAGGCAGAAAGCTTCAGCTCCCAACAGAGCTGCATCTCCACCAGATTTTTTGCCTTCAGAAACCATAGGTTACAAGTCTTTTTCTCCATTTTAGAGGAGAATGTTACTGGAGAATGTTAGCACTACAATACTAACATGTTTCTGAAAATTCATTTTTAAATGGTAAACTTTTAAAGTACTTCAAGATTGTCACAAATTTACCCCCAGTAAACTACTCATGCCTGTAAAGGTGTCTTCCACACATTCCAGATTGTACTGAACACTGTTGCCATCTAGTGGTTAAAGTTACACCTATTTTGCTAAATAGTGTACTAAATGTACACATTTTTTAATCAATTGTTTAATAAAATTCAAACGAACTTTCTACTGAAATCAGCATCTGAATGCTTAAAAACAAGGATTAAGCAGCCAATTGTAAGATCTTTAGGAACAGATTCAACCACCGAATATTCCTTCTCTGTAGTTGATAATTGGAAGAGAAGAATATCAAAAGGGGACAATTTTAAAAGCACAGGGTATTTCTTTCAAGTTAAATAACTCAATTTCTTGGACTTGGATAATATTCCTTCTGTCCTGAAAACGGTAATTCAACACGTTTGAGAACGAGTTTGTCATCCTTCACAGAAAATCAGCAGGCTTGGCAAATTGACGACCTGAACCCTTAACCTCAGTTAAGACAACCAGTCAGTTCATAAAATAAATGCCAGGCTAAATAAGAGTTAAGATAAAGAAACATTGTTCAGATTTACTTGGTGCTTAAGGTGGAGCTAAACTATACATTTTAATGCTTAAATAACTTCACCTACCTCGATATTTTCACTACGAATTTGATTTTCAATAGTTGAAAAAAATTGCATTTAAAAAGCAAATGTGATTCAATTATCTTCACACCTCTGCAGAAATGCAAGCATCTCCATTTCCCTATGAAGACTGTGGAGATGCCCAACACGGATGCCCTGACGTATTTCATGTATAAAACAATGAGAGACGGCCTGGGCGACTTGAAAGGAGGTCTGGACGAAACATTTCAAAGGGAATCCAGCAGGGTTTCAGAGAAAGGTATGTCCATTTTAAATATTTTATCTTGCAGAATTTTGGAATCAACTTTGTTTCCATTTCTAGTAAAATCGCTGAAGGAGAGCATCAATCCAAACATCAGTGAAAAGACCAAAGGTGTGGCTCTTCATGAGCGCATGGAGATATTTTCAGATGGTTTTGTTGAAATGGCTGCTAAGCATTTTTCTCTCAACAGCAAGAGACGCCGACATTCCTTACACCACAGAACCGAGGAAAAGAGCCGATTTTCTCCAATGTGAGCACAAATGTTTGATTTAATTATGTCTTCTATAGTCGATTAGATTATGTTCTCTTCTCCAGATTACAACGACTTGACGTTGGACATGAACACGGCCAACTCCTACCTGAGCGTCTCCGACAGCCGGAGGTCAGTGACAAGCCGCTCAGAACCGCAGCCCTACCCCGACCACCCGGACCGCTTCACCAGCTGGGCCCAGGTGTTGTGCAGAGCAGGGGTAGCTGGCCGATGTTACTGGGAGGTGGAGTGGGCTGGGAGTAGGGGGGTCTCAATTGGCATCTGCTACAAGAACATGAATAGGATTGGAGGAGGGAGCGACTGCAAACTGGGCCATAACTCTAAATCCTGGAGCTTAGACTGCGTCAACACCACCTGCTCGTTCCAGCACAACAAGGAAAGCGTTGCCATCAAGACTCCCTGTGGGAGCCGGATAGGAGTGTATCTGGATTTCAGGGCTGGGACTCTAATGTTCTACAATGTTTCTGATTCAATGATTCTGCTCCATGAGGAAAAAACCACATTCACCCAGCCAGTGTACCCGGTGTTTTGGGTGGGCTTGGGCTCTATACTGAAGCTGTGCTCTTCAAACTAGAACCCTGCTTCAGTAGCACTTTACAAGTAGTCTTGTAAATAAATATATAGAAATAAGAGACATATTTATGCTCTACGTTCAGCTTTATTAACCCCACAAGCTGTAGGCAGCATCAAGATGTTGGTATTGAAGGTTAGATCTTGTTGAAGGCAGCGACATCTACACTCTGGACCTGCAGAGAAACAAAGTTACATCGGTCACAAATGTATTGATATGTACATTTTATTTAAAAGAAATAAAGATTAACTTAAAAGCAGGGAAAACTTTCTTCTTTTTCCAAGTAATAAGAAAATGTGATTTGCTGCGATATTCGTTTTCTGCTACAAATTGTTTACATTAGCGGTGGTTGTGTGTGTCACAGCCTTTCACATCCTGAGAAAACATTCCCATGTGAGATATGCTGCTTGGGGACACCAGTAAGCGATTTATATCACTAAACTGCACACAGTAACTGCATTTGATCATTTTCAAATTTAATACTTAATTGGAAAAATAAAGTAAAAATATTTTACTTAATATTTTTAGTAAATATTTAAACATATACAAACAAGGTTTAGATATATATATTTCTATAGATCCATCTATCTATATAAATTATAAGAAAGGTCCACCCCTATTTTGGGACAGAGTTTGAATTCATCTGAGCAGAGAAGCTTTTTCCCTACATGGTTTGTAATGTGAAATAATTTATCATTCTAATCGTTTTCTTCTTGCCTCTTCAGTAAAGAAAAAAAAACCCATCAGATTTGCAGAGGGCATGGCTAACAGCTGTCAGATTCCCTCAGAAGAAGCCATGAGCTGCAGAGACAGTGGCTGTTCTTTGAATATTTCTCAAAAAAGTTTTATAATCTGTTTTCTTTCTAACAAACTTCTGAGGTCTTCACAGAAAAATCTGATTCATAGAGATGTATATTACACACAGCTGGACTGTTGAGAGATAAGGCAACTCCTAAAAGCAGCTTCATAGAATTTTATTTAGTTTCTTCTATTTAGAGGAAAATTTATACTATACTTTATGTGCCAAAATGCAAATGTTTAAGATATGCACCACAAACATTTAAAAACATTAGTGCATTTTCTGCTCTTCCCAATTATGGTCTGCTTTGTGTTGATCTACAATATGGAATCCCATTAAAAATCACTCAAGTTTGTGCTTTTAAGGCCTTTCATTCATACAAAGAATTAAATCAGATTACTAGAGCACTTAGCTTCATTTGGAGACAGAAGGCAAAATTAAAACATGCAAAGATGCCACAAGGATTAACTTACATAATCCTCAAACTTGGTGATCTCCTCCTCCAAGATGTCTGTGCCGACCTTGTCATCCTCAACCACACAGTTGATCTGCAGCTTCTTGATGCCATAGCCGACTGGGACCAGCTTCGAAGCCCCCCACAGGAGCCCGTCCATCTGCACGGAGCGCACACACTCCTCCAGCTTTCCCATGTCGGTCTCATCATCCCACTGGGTGAAGATCAAGAGTGAACATCATCAGAACCCTCAGCAGGGTTTCAGTCATGCAGCATTCCTGGGACTGCACTACGGTGTGTCCAGAGTGCAGAAGTTTGCTTACAGGCTTGACGTCCAGCAGGATGGAGGACTTGGCGATGACGGTGGGTTTCTTTGCTTTCTTGGCGGCATAGGCTTCCAGTCTCTCCTGCTTGAGGCGTTCTGCCTCCTCATCTTCCTCATCACTGCCAAACAAGTCTATGTCATCGTCATCATCATCGCTGCCATTAGTCACCTGTACTTGTTTGACTGGAGCTGCTTGTGCTGGAGCAGCCTGTGCATTTTAAAAAGTAGGGCATAAGGGGAACAAAAAACTCAAACCACTTCCTCTTTTTATAAATGCCAAACATAAGAAGATAATGATATGTTGGGTCAGAAATTTGAATTATGATATCAAATATGTTGTTCAACAACAACAAAAGGACAGGATACAGTGGAGTGTTTGATCTACCTTAGCACAGGGGACAGCTGCTGGTGCAGGGGACTTCTCCAGGACCGCCACTCTGGACTCCAGCTTCTGCAGAGCTGCCCTCATGTCCTCAACCACTGACATTCAAACAAGATCACGTCAACTGATTTATTCCTTTTCGCAAGACAAACTCTTAGAGCTTATATTTTAAATACGATTAAGTGTGATCTACCCTGCGTGATGACCAGCTGGACAGAAAAACAAAAGTCTATCCTTTTATGAGCAATGAACACACCACACCGATGAGGCCGAGTCAACGTCTGTGATGAGTTTAAAAACGAGATGAAGGCCAAAGAGGTAAGTCTCTTTGGTGAAATATTTATGGCTGGCCAGATTTGGCCCATGGACCTTGAGCTTCACCTATGTGCATTAGAGGTTCTGGTGTTTTCATTTTTTCCTCACAATGACATCTTCCCCGTCTTTCGTTTTACGAGTAAAATGTTTAATCTTGGATGTTTACTTGTAAATAAAAACTTGTTTTTTCCTAAAAAGACTGTTCAAACATCAATATGCAGACATTTCTTTTGAAATAAAGCAGTCAATAAGCCAGTTTATTTTCTTCTTCACAGCGGTATTGGGTTTCGGCAGATTCTTTGTTAAATGAAATTGGCAGACAGCTGCCTCAGGATTATTGACAGCTGGAAGAGGAGTTAAATCGAGCCAAACCCACAATCATTTTGTGATCATTTTGTGATCATTTTGTTGCACAAACAAATTATAGCCTAAAAGTCTGCAAAAAGTTTTGATATGGAAAAACAACAAAAACCTTTGTTCAGAGTCTGGTTCTCCAGCTCCAGGCTCTTCATGCGTGTAACCAGCTCCTGGTCTCCTGCTCCATGAGAGGATGACTGTGGGGACAAAGAAGAAAAAAATAAAATTAGCACCAAAACTTGAACAGAAAAATTAACACACCTTAAATCTGAAGAGAAACATGCAAAGGATGGTTTGAAAAAATTATGCACGACTACAGTTTGTCACTATTGGTTGGTGACACAAACATGCTTCTGGGTTTCACACAAGATCCATATAGAGGAGGAAATGGTCTAATAATTCCCACATGCAGATCATAATGCCTCCCGCCTCAAGAAAATTTGCCTAAAATGCAAGTGGGCGATCTTTCATTACATTTGAAAAATGAACAGGAAATTCATCAGATTCTTGCTCTAATGTCCTCAAAGAGTTTTTCGACTCAATCAATTGAGGAATCTTTCCATGGGCTCAAGTATGATGTCAACGCCTTGGTTTCTCTGTGATTTTGGTGCTTTTGTTTCTTTTGACTGAACTTGCAACCAAATTCACATCTTGTATATTTTTCGGTTTCATTTACGTTACTACAACTTCAGACTTGTAGTAACGGATACTTGAGCCCTGTTGCTTGTCAGATTAAAAGAAAGCAGCCTGAATAATTTTAAAACACACATGCTGACAGGAGAAGACAGAAAAAAAAACAAGAAACTGCAGCCATCCAGCAGCTGTGGGTCAACTCGGTGTTTCTGTCATGCAGCATTCCTGGGACTGAAAACCAACCTGGATGAGGACAAACTTACATTTCTGTGCCTCGGTTTCTGCTGGCGACTTTTGGCATGCTGCGCCGTTTTTACCTGCCCCTCCTCCCCCAGCAATACAGAAAAGTTAAAAAGGCAGGAAAAACTCAGGAGTAACTACAGATGCCGAACGGTTTATATGCAAGTTTCTCACAGTTCATGTTCAATGGTCCAAGTCTCATTTTTAAAGAACAGTGCAAACCTCCTCCAGTGGTAAATGCTTTTCAAATAACTGATCATGCATCACGCATACTCAAAGTACATTTACTTGACCTCCACATAACAGCAGGCTCGGCAGATTGAAAACACAATCTCGCTGTAACACTGTTTGCTGCAGTTTTGGTTAAAACTGCTTGTTCTTCATTCAGTCAAAAAACTAGAGGTAGGTAGACAGTATATGTTCACATTTTTTGAAGCACTTTTGCATTTCTTGAGGGGAAAGTCAACTACAGTTTTTGATGTGAAAACATTTTAGTAAACCAACTGCTGATTAAAGTTTTCTCACTGCTGATCTTTTTAAAACCTAAAATCAAAGTCCTTAAAGGTGCCAGCGCATGGATTTCAATGAAACAAACCTCCACTCCACTGTTAACAGGCCTGTACAGGAAGCCGGGATGGTCTGACAAGCCGAGGCAGCTGCCAAAACCACCTGACCCTTCTCACTTTGACAAGCCACTTCTAAATCGAGAGCCTCAACTAACATGCAGGCAGGCAGCTGCTGCAGGCTGCTGACCACTGTGACAGACGGTGATGTAAGTGTTGCCAACACCAGCAAGGATATGAGTAAGGAAATCTGTGCAGCCTGTGACTGATTTATAAACAACTTGTTGCTGGCAGATTGAGAACACATGAAAGCCCTTTCCTAGTGGGAGTGGGATTTTAGCACAAAAGAGGTTGTTACCTGTTGCTGGTGCTGGGTGGTGGGGCCGTTTGCTCCCTCGTAGAAGCGCTTCTCAGCTTCATCGTAGCGGTGTTTGTCGAACCAGATGTTCTCTGCGGCGAGACACTGCAGTCCACTCATCTTGGTACTGTGACGGAGTAAAAGAATGAATAATGAAAACACTTTATAGGCTTATTTGCTTACAGTCAAAGAAAAGGGGTTAGTCACTGTTGCAACAAGGATAGTGCGCTGTCATGTGTTACAACACCATGCAGTTAAAGATGGACTCCATGAGGGTGTGAGAGGAAGGCGTTCAATGCTTGAGACAAGTTATGTTTATGAAGCCAAAATAAAATAAAAAAGAAATAAACAAATAATTGAATGAAGATAAGGTCCATCTCCGATTTGTTTGCTGAGGGGTTACAGCAGCAGGCAGTGACACATTCCTCAAATAAACAGAGCTGCATCGTCTGCAAAAACTGGATTAGCAAACAAAAGGCTGTCTGCCAGTGAAAACAACACCCACTTTTTTGTCAAACATATCAAACGGGAAACCCATTCAGGCAGCCATGTTAGCTGTGGCTCTGGGTCAGTTCACTCCTTTGCCAGTTTGTTTCAACATATGCCGTTTCTCTTCCCGCTACTTGGTTTAATAGCTGTAAATCAGAGCTCCACAATAGATTGAA